GTTTTTGTGCGCAGTCACGAGACTATTTCTATTCTAAACTCAATTGAAATAGCCTGTTTCACAATATAAAAAAGATCAATGATCGATTTTGTCACAAAGTGATAAAACGAATGTCCATTATGCTACTCTACCCTTAAACCTTGCAAATTTTTCATCTGATACAAATATTTTTTAAAATTTAAAAATTAAATATTTTTTAAAAAAATTTTTAAAATTATTATTTAAAAAATGAGCAAAAATAATATCTTCATGATCCAGGAGCAGCAGCAACAACAATCATCTTCTACACCACTGCCACCACCTCATCCTCATGCCCCCGTGCTGGGCCAATGAACCAGGATTTGCTGGCTCAAATACAGTAACAACAGCAACAACAATTACAACAACAACAACATGAACAAGAACAACAACAAGAACAACAACAACAACAAAATCAACAATTACAACAACAATTACAACAACTACAACAACAACAAAATCAACAACAACAACAATTACAACAACAACAACAACAAATACAACAACAACAAGAACAACTACAAGAAAGACAACTAGAACAACAATTGCAACAACAATTACAACAGCACCAATATGAATTATCCCAAATCTATTATGTTGTTGTTCTTGGTGCAAATTTTTTTTCTTTATATTATTGTTTTATAAATAAATTCATATTTTTATTATTAAGAATGATTCATTTGCATATGTGCATATTTATGTTTTTACCAAAATATACATTGATTTTCTAATGAAAATAAGAAAGATTCAGGATATTAAACCCACACAACCTATAAAGGATTTTTGCAAAAGACTTGTTATATAACATTAGAGCCAATTTCACCTGATCTTAAACCTGATGAAAAGGAAATTATTTTGGTGACACATGATGAGTGTATATTCTATTCAAATGATGGGGAGAAAGGAGTTTGGGCTAAAAGTGGGTGAGTTGCCATTAAAATAAAGGGTAATGGTAAGTGAATTTTTGACTGAAAAGAATGGAAGATTACATTTAAATGAATCTAGAGTTATTTTAAAACCAGGTAAAAAATCATGAGGGGTATTGGACTAATGATCATTTAATTGAGCAGGTAGAACTTAAAGCTATTCCAATATTTGAAGCACTTTTCTCAAATTGTACTGCTCTTTTTGCATTCAATAATTCAACAAATCATGGTTCTTACAAATCAGATGCTCTTGTGGCAAGTAGAATGAATTTAAACCCAGGAGGTAAGCAGCCAAAAATGAAAGATACTGTTTTTGAACCTAATAATATATTTCAATCCATGGTTTTTGAAGATGGGACACCAAAAGGAATGAAACAGGTGTTGGTTGAAAGGAACCTGTGGAAAGAAGGTTTGCTGGCTGATTGCAAGTTATGCAAAGGAAAAGTTGTGGATGAAGGCAGGGTTGGTTGTTGCACCAGAAGAATTCTGTCCTTACAGCCTGATTTCAAAAACCAAAAATCAGCTTTAGAAGAATTAATTTTGGAATCAGGACATTTGTGTATTTTTTACTGTGAACTAAACTTTATTGAAAGGTATTGGGGTGAAGCCAAAAAATACACTAGGGATAAATGTGACTACACCACATGGGAAGGATTACAAAGGACAGTACCTGAAGCATTAGATTCAATAGATGTAATTACAGTAAGAAAATTTGCCAGAAAGTCTTGGCAATATATGGATTTATGCAAAGATGGTATATCAGGTAAATTAGCAGAGTATAGATAATATTAAAATAGATTAAATTTTTATTTATTGCTATCAAAAATCACAACAAATGTGGACACTAAATAACTTTTCAATTTCATAAAAGAAAATCATGCAAAAAATTTTCCATAAATAAATTTATTTCCAAAGATATGTTTATATATATATATTTAATAAATTTATTTTCATTTTCCAAAGATATATTATCAATATATTATATGTTTATATATATATATATACATGATTAATTTAATAAATTTAATGAAATATTCATTGATTACCATATTTCTCAATGATTAATGATTAATAATATTTATTGATATCAAAATTGAATTATTTTTGACTGCTTTGTTTTTATTATTACCTCTGCCAATCCTCTATGTATAATTTTTTTTTAATTTTTTGGTTTCAGTCAACTCTGTTTATTTTTAATAAATAAAATTCATCATTAATCTAATGATAGCATGATTATGAATGAATCTAATATTAAAACAACTCACTTCACTGGTGGTTCAATTATGTGTTCAAATAATGTCCCATTCTTGAATAGGCTATTGTTTATTATATTTTCTGTAGGAGGAATATCTAGAACTCCCAAGATATAAATATGCTTATTTGTTGCTCCAACTTCTACGATTATATCCTTTTGATCATTTATTGTAGGAACATTTACCATTATAATAGGACCAGGAAAACCCTATAGTACGTGACTGCCAAATTAAATGGCAAATCATATTAATGCAAATCTTAGTTTTTTATAATTATGCAAATCAATTTTCCAAACACATTTAAAAAATTATTAATAATGCGAATCGAAATCAGCCAAGGACATATGAAATTTATCTTTATTAATTAAAA